CATAATGTCTAACTTGTGTTATGACTGTGATACAGAAGCAGCCTTGTTTATCAGTGACTGAATGTATGAACAATAGAATAAAAAAAACAAACAAGTTAAAAACATTTCAACAAAACATGTTAACACTAAAACACACAGTAGGCCTACATTCAATATAGGGCTGCACATTAAAATTAGAGAAAATAAATAAAATGGCTAAATTGTGCATCTTAAAACAAAATGCTTAATTTCAGGGGAAAAAAAGCAGCTTGAGTTTCCCTTTTTCTTTAGTTTTCACATCTCGACTTAACAGTCTCAATACATTTTTCAACAGATATCTCAAATCCTCTTTCCTCTGTGTCTGCACAGATTTGATTGGCTACGTAGCATCACAATTATTTTGTATGTTCTTTGGTCCATTAATACAGTGCTGTAAAGTTTAGAGTCTAAACTGAATAGGCTCTATTCAACTGATTCATTCTTATAAAATGAACTCCATTTAGCCTAGTGTGAGAAATGCTACAGTCTAGAAATGCTACTAGATCGAACCAGTCCTGAACCATCGGGAGAAGCTCCGATTCAGGCCGGGTCCAGATGAGCGGGGAGTTGTGCGCAGAGGACAGACTGCTCAGAACAACATTTAACCAACCAAACTGGACTGAGTTGTGTACAAAGTTCTACATGCTGCTGTTTTATGAGTTCAGTGGTGATAACTTGAGATGAAGATGGCCCGTGGTGTCGGTACCTTTCGCAATTAGAGGTACCTCTGTTCTCCCAGGTAAAAGTGGTACGGAGTACATCTGGCTGACCCTGTCCGGGTCTATGAGATGGCGTCTGAGTCTGGACAGGTAAACGCAGTCAGCTAGTTAGCAATCCTGACGCAGTCCCATGGCCCTTGCAGCCCACTGAAGCAAAATTTTAAGTTTTTTACGGCCCTCTATGTGGCACCCAAATTGTTTGGTTAAGAACCACTGCTTTAGAGCACTATATCAATAATAACTGTCCAAGAACTTTTTTGATAAAGAGTGGGTGGGCAAGTGGTATGAAAAAAGTAATTAGACAATGTAAGCAGTAAGAGTGGATGCTAATCTTTTTGCACACAGGCCTCTTATAAATGTTGCTAATGATAATGTCACTATAGTGATTTTCTAGCTGCATAAAACTGAAATGCTGATTCCCCGTGTTTAGTCTTGACTCTAGGCACCAGCAGGAGTGTGAGAAATCTTAATGTCCATTATACAATTTTTGTCTCATAAGATTGTTGGATATAACAATACAAAAAATGAGGAGTTTAAATTGTATGACAGCACACATGGCTGTGTCTGTGTGAATATCACGGTCTAGACTTAGTGTAGTAAAGTCGCAAAATTGTACAGGCTTGCTGAATCAAAGTCCTCAATAAGACCAAGGTGAAAGAGCCAGAGCCCTCCAAGGAGCAGAAGAGGAAGAAGAGACAAAACAGAAGGCGACTTAAAACAACCCAGACTCCACAAATTCAGACCTCAACCTGTATAAAGTCTACACCAAGACTGAAGACAAGGCGCTGGAGGCTATGGAGCAACAGGAGCAGAATCATCAGTCATGAAAGGTCTACAAAACAAACACCAGAATTGTGCTCAAACCAAACCAGCTTTCTCAGATCCTCACCTTAAGAACAAAAGTGGAAAAAGTCCTCAGTGAGACAAAGTCTAAGGAGCAGAAGCAGAACCATCAGAGCAGGCAGATCTTCACCAGTCACACCAGAATTGTCCTTAATGACTTTATTAAACCATGTATTTTTAACATCAAAATCATACCTTTTGGTTTGCTAACTTAAAATAATGTAAAGTAATTTAATTTTTTTTTTAAATATGCCATTTCCAGTTAGGCATTTAGGCAATAGATGTCACCTGGCAATGAACAATGTGAAAGTAAACAAATCCCTCGTCAATGCTATGCTAACAGAACCATTAGTTAGTTAATTGCGAACACAATTTGACCACATTTCTGGTGATGTTTTATGATTTTACAAACTGTGTAGGAGTTTTAAATAGAATGCAATAAAAACAGGCTGCGTTTACCTATATGGGAATTTGACCAGTGCAATGTTTTTATAGCTGTTTTTGCTTGTATATTTTAGTTTGCTCTAACTATCAGCCAATAAAAAAAGTACTTTCCAGTCCATTCAAAACTGTAGTGGAAAAGAAAGTACAGGTCCCTCTCAAATGCAGTGATGTAAAAGTAAAAAGTACAAACACCACAATTATTTACTTAAGTAGAGTCATTTTACTTTGTTACATTCTACCACTGGTAAGCACACAGAAAAAAAAGCTTTGGATGTCTATGGTGCTATCTTCTTCCTTCATATGCATGCTTTTTGGCACAGTGAGAAACAGAAAATCTGTGCAAACCGTGACAAATTAAATATTGTAAAAATACACACCTTTTACTCCACATTCACTCATTCCCAGCCTTCCTACTTATGTTAAAGCATATAAAATAGCACAGAATGCACACCAAGTGAACTAGCGGGGTCACACTAACAGCAACTGAAATACAGTGTACCTCATACAGTCATTGGGAGTCCAGCTTTTATTTTCAGTGGAACTAGTTAAGTGTTCAATATACAGCAGATAATGGTACATACTACATTACTGGGATTCAGACGTCACTGCATTCTATAGGTAATAATATTTAATACAGATGGAAGGCAGCTAAAATGAATGTTGTTAAAATGCAGATCTGTCTTTGTATTACAGTGACTCCTTGAGTCTAGTCAATAACAGAAATGACCAGGTTCAACATTTGTTAAGTTATCATATAGATATTTCATGGCCAAATACAATGTAATCAATAGGGAAAACTGCCTCTTGCTCCCCATCTGGGAGTATAACATCATTGCATTTTCAAATTTGAAAATATAATGTATGTAAAATATAATATAATATCAGATTTTATAATTTAAGGATGTAAAGAATTTATAAGAAACATCCAAAGGAAAAAAAATTACAAAATTGACCCTGTTCATTGTTCCCTTTGTATAACCTATTAGAAGTAAAATCAATAAATATATTTATTTTATCTGTAAATATTATGGGACAAAGGAATGGTGTATAAGTTTGCATTTTGTTTCTACCACATATATTCCCAGAGGATTTGGTAAAAAAAACAAAGGGCGTTTTGAATTAACTGCCCCTTAAGACACCTTCAGGTAAACACACAAGTCTAATATGGTTATAGTGCTGTCAGGTTTTCAATAGTGTGGGTTAATCAGAAAGGCAAGGGGAAGGCTGCTATCTACTCACTGCACTGCCATATTTATCGATTCAATTTACACACAAACACAGAGCTCCACTCAGCCATGTGTGCCACAAAACACACACAGATGCACACACAAATTGACACCCATTCGGAGCTCGAGAAAAGGCACCCATAACACCCCTTTAACTATTCTATTGGCCCCAAATGGATTTTCCCATTTTCTGCGGCAGAGCTAGTGGAAACAGTGGAGCAGAACTGAAAGTGATATAAATGTATCAAAAAACAGATGAACAAACATTGGAAGAAGATTTATTACTGAAGATTTTAATAAAAATTGGTGTCGGATGAATTGATTTTGGTTTAAGGGTGGGTGTTATAGGGAACAATTTATCGAGATGGCCCAGGTAAGATGCATTATTTTCCGATTGTTATCTGCCTTCCCTGTTTAAAGAGCTGATTTGTGTTGTGTATTGCATTTTATGGGGAAGAAGAAGAGGGGAACTTCTGATGATTTAGGTGAGATGTATTAATCAAAGGCAGCCTGTGTGAACCATAGATCGCCAAGCAAAGGAGGTACAGGTGACAGCTCATTCTGCTAAAGAATGTTTTGGAGCTGCACATCACTGCTTCTCAATTCCCCATTATTTTTCCCACTCCTTGCCCTCATCTTTCTATCTATCTAGCTCACTGTGGGTTTTGCCTCATCATTTTGGTCTTTTTTCTGCTCTCCTTTTTGTTGCTACCTCTCCATCTCACAGCCTCTCCTCACAGTTCATTGCTCTCTGGGTTTTAATTTTATGAGCCTATGGGAGTAGATTTTAACCATCCATGTGGCAAATAAACGGGAAATTAAAAGTATTATGCATTACCGCCTCAGAAAGTCTCATACACTTTCTCTGTGTTTGGTGACCTTTCTCGCTACTATCATCTTCAGGCTCACACAACGCTTCAGGTATTAGGTGCTGTAATGTTTGCTTTTGTAGTCCTGGTACAAAACCTGCTTGTATTTGATTACACATTCATATAGAGTGTTGTTTGTGGGGAGCATAAAAAAAGTATACATTGTATTTAGTGGGTATGTGTAGCGGAGTAGTGCCTGTCAGTCTAACATATAATGAAAGGCTATTTGGCCAGGCCACTCACCTGTGGCCAGGGTCTTTCTATTGATTTGAAAGTTAGATTGTTTGTGTGATGAGTGAGGCTTTAAGGGTGTAATGGACTCTACAAACACTATAATAGAATCATAGCATTTTCAAAGAAGCCAGTGTCGTTTAAACTATTAAATAACAGATATTCTAACAATCACAAACGGGCATTTCAATGTTAAAAATGGTTTATTTCCTGACCTACTCTACTTATTTTTTTTGATCTATTTTGATTATACTCCAATGCCATATAATGGGCCTATTTCTTGAGTAATTGGCCCATAATGGTAATCACTCTGCTGTGTGAGAGCTGGAAAACTAATCTGTCAGCAGGTATATTGGCCAAAAGGCCAAAGCTAGCCAAAGTTCTTTGGACACACACAGTAAAGCACAAATTTAAGTTTGTTGATGCGTGTTATAGTGTGGTCACTGGTACAAAGGGTGTGATTCAACAATGAGAGCCAGGGTGCCAGATCTCTTAAGACAGTGTGAAAAAGTATTATTACTTTATCATTTATTTTATTTTCTATCATGCAATGAGTTCTTGCTTTAGTTGAACATGCTACTTTTATTTAATTAAAAATATTCACGTCCCAACTGTAATTCTCATATGTTAACAAAAAATAAATAAATCACCTTGTAGTGGAACTGAAGAGAAGAGCCCGGGGTAGTGGATGTGGACACGATGGCACTTCAGATACAGAAGTCTGAAAAATACAACATAAAATACATAAAATGGTAGTTATTTTATCACATGTAATTGATGAGGGCCTAATAACTACGGTTTGCCCTGTGCATGCTATGTCCCTGTTTGTGTGTCTGAGTTGATTGTTCTTGACTTCATTAATCTCTGCAGTGTGGTTATGATTAGCTGTTTGAGGCATGCCAAAGGACATCAGACAGACGCACATACTCACACAGTGGACAATCTGGCCAGCTGAACTGTCCCTCTGTTACAGACATCCAATTACCTATAAAACTGTAAACATATTGAACAATAACAATCAAACCAAGCATTATAATATGGTTTAAAGAAGGCATATTTTATGCTTTTATGCTTGTGTCTGCTATACAGTATAGTTATAATCTACAACACCAAAGAACCATGTTAAAATTTGCAGCTTTTAACACAATATTAACCTAAAATAATTTAAACTTAAACTGTGGTGCCTAATGGGGGCTGACGGCGCCATTAACGTCATCACAACAAAGAGACGAAGATCACGTTAGCGAGCAGCATTTTTTTTTTTCATTTGTACCAAAATGACGATGTGACACTGCCAAATCCTAAATCCTATGCATATTGCAATTAAAAAAGAATAAAGTGAGTAGAGAGCAGTGGGCGTATACCAGTGGTGATAAAAACTAGAGTTGATCGGCATTAAGCAGTCTTGAAGTTAGAAATGACAGAAGTTAATGTTCATTCATCTTTAGACCATTTAAGTGGTTACCTTACCTCTATATATTTTTTTATTTTGACAAAAGCTTTTAATATTATTAATATCTATGCACCAACAGCAACAATCCTTACACTCCTACATGTTACATGCACATTTTCAGCTATACACTTTTTTAACCTAGTCCATAAAAAACAAAACTAAAATACTGGCAACCAAAATAAGTCAACTGAAATATCTACACGAGCATTGTGGAATAAAAATGCACAAGACAAATGTAGACCACAACACGAATCTCTGTGAGCAAGTGTCATCATTGACAGCCAAATGACAAATTGCAAAAACGAAAAATATGAGAAGTAATGATAGAATAATAATGCCACATGTGTACTGTATGTTTGTGTGTGCGCCTGTGTGTGTGCGTGTGCGAGTGTGGTGATGAATCTCTCATTGTGACAGTGGGGCCGGCAGCAGCGAATGTCCTTCTGGGTGGGACACACACACCAAAAGACACACACAGATGCACAACCACAGCACAGATGGAAGGACCGCACTAATGGATCACCCCTGTCTGCATGCAATCCGCCACAAATAATGATGAACCACCCCAGCATTAAACTATTTTACACAATGCTCAATTCATTACTTCCCTCTCTCTCTCTCGATGGGTATAGGTGGGCTAATAAAGGTATGATATTTCTCCTCTACTGGCACAATCATAGTTTTTATCCATTAGCAGGATATTAGGATGTGGAATGAGGAAAGGTGGTAGGGAGGGGAAGAGGAGAGTTAAAAAAGGACAATCGAATAGCATTGGGACTGCCTAAGTAACAGCAACTTCAGGTAAAAATATAAGAATCAGATATGTCTAAAATGATTTGATGATTTGATTTAAAATAAGATTATGTTAAATTCCAATGCATTAAGTGTATAAAAGACTGAGAGTCATTACAGATTTCAGTTGAGTGATCCCTGGTTGAAGAGGGATGCATCAGAGAGGGGTGATGTGTTGCAGACAGATGTTTAATAATAATGGCCAAACTGGCACCACTCACCACCACAGCTCTTCATGGCCACTGGCACACACACACACACAGTTTAGTTCACTCCAATATTATCACTCATACAATGACACATACACACAATGATGATCCATACACAGAGCATCCCCACACTCCCTCAGAGCTAGAGAGCCTAGTATCACTACTGGACTGTACATCTTTATGAGCAGTCCTGGCCGCAGCACATATGGCCCTCATTTAGGAACAATGGGCATGGAGAATGACTAGCTGGATGGACCTTCTGACAGTGAGAGGTGACCGGAGGCATGTTTAACGACAAGCTCCATATGTAGACATGAAGCAGGACATAAGTAGCTAAAAATATATATACATATTCATGTAGTTATTTATTTCTTTAATTAGCAATGTTCATGCTGAAAAATGTTTTAATGCTAATTGTGTAACTGTGTTAACTGAGTGGTTGTGAGTGAGTGAGTTTGAGGAAGGACCTTACCTTAAGGAAGGATTTGAATTGGGGGAAAAGGAATCAAAATCAGTTCACACATTGATCTACACTATAAGACATCTAATTAGCATTGTCACTAAAAGAATGGGGTTTGTTCTGACGGTCATGTCATGTCCTAAATACGTCTCCCTTTCTCTCACATCCTCTCTCCCTCTCACTCTCTCTTGGTTGTATTTGCGCTTGTCCTGTCTTGTAAAAACAACATTCCTCCTGTAATTACCAGGGTGGCTGCCCTCCTGCCATGTCTCGATGGATGGGCTTCGCCATCATGGTCTTGGCCCTTCAGCCATAACTCTACCTGGGACATCTGCTGCACGTCTCTGCAGCTCTGTGCTCACACTTAAGACAGCAAATTGGCCTTAGAAAAAGAGATAGTAACCACATCTAGCTGACAGAGAGACCTGGTGTGGTGCAAGAGATATGAAGAACCTCAGAGATACACACTTCCACTATTTGTCATTAAGTGGTCTAAAATAATCTATAATACTGACAGTCTTTTTCTTTGAGCAACTGGCAGACAGACAAGTCAGCTTCTAAACAGACAGACAGCTACTCCCAAACAGTCTACAAACTAGATCATCTTTACAGGTAAATTACTGGAAGAACAGAAAAGAGTGATGGAGCATGATCACATCAGAAATTGGGGAAAATTTATGGAGTAAAAGAAAAAAGTGAGGACACTGCAAAATCAATAGCTACTTACATTATGAGCAGACTGCAGAATCCAGTGGCTCTTCATAATAATCGGCAGATGTCTACAAAATTTGACTCAGTGGAAAAGAAAATTCTGAAAAACACACAAACATATACACAAAATACTTTTGAATTTTGCGAAATTAATTCACGTGAAATGTATAGGTTATAGAATTGAGATTGAGACAGTTTACAGACAGAACAAAAGTCTTATGATAGTCTTATGACCCCCCCAAAGTTTGGATATTATTTTTGCATGAACTGTGGCGGGAAACGAAAGTTGTCTTATCGACGTTTTATCGCGTTGAAAACAGTCACTGCCAGTTCCATGAGTGGCATATTTATTTTACTTTTGTACTGAGGACACATCTATTACACAAGAACCTTATACCACACCTTAAAAACTCAGAACAAAAGTTTTCGTTCGATCGGCGAAACCAGAAGCTCTCACTCAGCAGCACCATCTTTCGCTCCCACGTGCTTCTGGGTTTGCTACCCACAGTGCCACGGAAATGGTTGCCAAGGCAACGGACAAACTTACGCCTGCGTGGACATGGCGGATGTGCTCAGTCTGACAAGAGAAAACGAGTTTCGAAAAGAGTATTTTTATAGAAACAGGTTTGTTCACGCATAGCAGATGAAGCGACAAAGTGTTTTCGTCGTTAACTGAATAAACCACAATTTGCATCTCTAAATGCCTAATTATCGCTGATCAACTAGCTAGCTAAAAGCAGGATGTTTCATTAGGATTTTTACGCTAAATTAAAGACTGCACGCGGTTTCTAATCTACACGTAAAACGTTATTATTGTTATTTTAACTGTGGGCTGTGCTTTGCTTTACCAGTTTAGCAGAGGAAAATAGGCAGAAAGAAAACCAGGCTGCCATCTGCATCCAGAGCTGGTTCCGAGCCTGCAAGGTTCGGGCTTACATCAGGTACTGTTATTCACTCTTTATTTTATTTTTTTCAGTAAAAATGACAACAACAAACATTCATCTTAAAATATAAAATAAACATCAGGCTGTTCAAGAATTGGTAGCATGTGCATTTGTGCATGTGACATAATCTTAGACTGCATACACGGTCTATGGATATAATTAACGATACTACAATAACAAATGCATCTTATTTGAGGACAACCATGATTTGAGTTCAGTACTGTAATGACCCCTGGTGTAAAGCTTTGCAAATGGCCTTGAGGAATAAATGTGGCCTACACTCTTTGCTCCTTTCACAGAGAGTGAAATAAATGTCTTAATCTCTGTGCCTGTTCTTATACTGTGACCCAAGCCCCATTCTGCAGGGTCAGCAGACAAACTTCCAGACAGTAGGTTAATTCAGATTACTTTAGTTAATTGATCAATGCGTTAAGTGGATAATTAGCAACAGTTTTAGCTGCCTAAGTGCAACTCCGGGGTTGTGCTATCCCCACTATCAGCATTGATTTTCTGGGCATATAAATGGCCTTTTGGAAATTGATGGCCTCATTGGAAGCAGAGAATCGCAGTGGACTTGCATTTAGAGTGTGTTTGAAGATGAATACAAATGCATGGCTCCAACTAAAGGGGTGAATGGCTTATCGGACATGATCGAAAACCCTGTAAAAATATTCTATATGGCTTTAGGTGAGCATCTCAGAGTATTAAACCTGTCCCCTGCAAATGGAATAGTGTTTGCCTAATTCACAAATAATTTATATTACACTAATATGAGAATTTAAAAAAGGCATCCAACATCTTTTATTATTATTTCATTTATGGATAAGCATTTCAGAGTACTAAACCTGTCCCTTGCTAATACTGTCTGCAAAATGCACAAATAAACCAGATGGCGTCAATATGAGATTTTAAAAAAATAAGTGTATCTAACATTTTTATTATTTTATTATTTTACCTATTTATGTCAAATTCTCTTTTATTATGTACTTCTAAATATATCCCAAATTGCACTCCTGTGACTGAATGTATTTAAAAAAAAATAAATACAAGAATAAAACTAATCCTTTCTCTTATACCAATTTACAGCCATCTGCACAAGAAAGCAGTCATTATACAGAAGATATGGCGAGGCTTCAGAGCAAGGTCACGTTTCAGACAAATGGTGAAGGTAAGCTAGTGCCCATAATGGTTATAGATATATTGATTATGTTATGATAGTAGGCATTAGAATTCAATTGCCTTATCCCTAAGTCGCTGTCTCTGACCTTAGGAAATATAATTCACTCATTACACATTGAGAAATTAGCTCTTAAGAAATATAAATACGATAAGAGATCCCATTTGCCATCAGAACACCACAACTCCTGGGAAGCATTTTGAGAAACGGAGATGAGCTGAGAGTCAGAGGAATCCGTTAGCTTGTGTATGCGTTTGCACTTTAGTAAAACAGGGTCCCATTTCCAACATATTGCCTCCAACTGCTTCTTAATTGAACAGATTGTTGATACCGTATCCAATACCCAGCGCTCTCACGTATAATTTTCCCCTGGATTGAGTTTAGTAAACGTATCACAACAAGCTATTTATCATGCTTGTAAATTGACTGTTTGCTAAAGCATAACTGCCAGCCACCATTTGGGAGGCGTTCAAGAAATGAAGAGAGGGGGTTGAGGCCTGCGGTGTGAGCGCTGCTGAAATAAACGATCAAGGATGTGTCACAGCACACATATGGGCTAAAAAGAGACTGTTTGCTCTCATTTGGCAGCAGACAAGAGCTAATTTGGATCACTCTGAGTTGCCACACTTGACTCTTTTGAATTAGCCCGTAGGACTTTCCTTTCTCCCTCTCACTCTTTATCACATATAATCTAATGTCCACAACACCTCATCTGAAAACATCAAGCTGAATTTATTACCCGCTTTCAAGTCTTTGTCTCCCTCCCCTCTCCGCTTCTCCCACACTTCACTGTCAATATTCAATAAGACATGTTGAGATATGAATCCCTTTTATGACTGGCTCTTCAGGTTGCTCTTAAAGTGTGCCCCCGGTGGCAGGCTTGTGCTTGGAGTTCAGCTGAATATTCCCAGTCCTTTTGTTAGTGGTTTCTGGCAGCGCTGTCATTGATTATGAAATCCAGAGGAGAACGTTCTGCCGTCATACATCTCCATTAGCTCACTGCTTGACTATCATAGATTTTCTTGGCCCTTGTCTGCGTTGCCGCATTAAGGGGCTATCGTCCTCCCCTTGATACAAAGACCCACTAAATACCTGCACACTCTTCCTCTCCCTCCTCAATACTATAGACTTTTCCCTTTTTGTCTGGGCTTTCCTTTATTCAATCTCTATTTTGCTGTCCCCTTTCTCTCTCCCCACATTTCGCACTGGTGCTATCTGTGCTTCCTCTGTGCTATGTATTATGTATAAAGAGCTCTTTATCTTTGACGCCTGCTGTGGACAGATCAGAGGGCCGCAAGACAAGATGTAACGCCATCTTTTCCTTTGTGTTCACAGGCGGCATATTTTATCATGAAGATGAATTTCTACGAGGCGATGGCGGTCAGAGTAAATATCACCCTGGTGTCTTGTGGTAGCAAATGACAATCTGTGGGGAGGGACCTGTGAATGGGAGTCCTTGGTTGCTCAATTCATAACAAAAATATGAATAATAATGTGTATCTAACATCACAGCAATATATTCTATTAAATATAAAAATATAGCTGTTCTGTCTGCATGTCACTAAAACCAAAAATGTTGATAACATATTACAGAGCTGTGTCTGACTTTACACAAACTATGAATTTTCTAACAAATAATAGTTGCATTGTCCCTGTGCAAAATAAACAGAAGGTGATACAGAGAAAGCAAAGGGATCTCAATTTTCTATTCTCTTGAATCAAATTATTTTTTCCTCTTTTTCTGTCTGTTGTCTTTATCCAGGCAATCTAGAAAAGTGGAGGTGAATCTATTAAGCACGTAATAGAAACTAGTGTTTACACGCTACACCTGGTATTTGTATTAGATTCAACAGCATTGATTTTACTAGTCAACAAAAGGTCAGCAAGAACTTGGGAGGTGGCAATTACTTTATTTAAAATTATCTATTGACTGGCTGATCAATGCTAATTCTCATTTTGCTCTTTGTTGTTCTTCGCGATCTCCCACTTCTCTCATAGTGTGATTATTTTGTTCTTGCCATTGTTTTAATCTCCTAATTAGTCTGAAGGACATTCACCTCAGAGCTTTAAAATGCTTGGCTGATATTTGTGGGTGTGCATGGTGGCTAATCTGCTGCCTCAACAATCAATGTCTGCTCCTACAGTTAAAACATAAAACGGTGACAGCTGTCTCCACCGCTGTGCTTACTTACACCATGTTTGTGCTGTTGTGGCTATGGTCAATTATTAATGTTTGTTTAATTCATTAGAGTAATCAACAAGGGAAATCCTCATAATAAATGCTAAATATTATCTAATCATTGTATGCATTTTGCAGATTCAGAGAAGATGGAGAGGATATTTTGTGAGAAAATATGTTCACAGTTTCTACGCACGCAAGAGTTCCTTGGAAAATATTGCAATGAAAAATGAACAAGTCAGGTAAAAAATTACCCCCATTAACAAATTTTTTTCATTCTATTCATATTATAGAATAAACATCTCAAGTTTGACACATATGGCCAACTATGTATTTAAGTATAGCTTTGCAAGTGTTGAAGTGGGACTGTGTATCAGAAAGACAAAGGAAGGGGAGGGAGAGAGAGGGCTGCTCTGAAGTGCTTGAGGCTTAAGATGAGATAAGTGAACTACGTGTAGAAATTAAAAAATTACCCTCTGATTTGAACTGCGACTCCTGCATTAATAAAACCCCCTTTGCTTCAGGGCTTACTGCTAGAGATACACCATCTTTTATTTTTGACAAAAAAAAAATCACGTTTAGCTAATAGTCACATTCTTAATGTTGCTAATATATTTTACAGGAAAATATCTTTAGGCTTCTAAGCTTCTAAAATTAAATGTAAATTTGTTGAAGTGCTCCTCGGATCACTGATTCCCTCCTCCTATCCCCACCACTAATCTGCCTCCCTTCTGACTTTGAGACCTTTTAATGTGTTTTTTCATTCTATCTGTTAATAAGCATGTGTTATAATTATGCTTAATAAAAACAAAACAAATCTACTAAAACAAAAAAAAATGTGGCACATGATTTAGTACTTTTTTGGATTTATAAAAATACAAAACATTACATGACATTATATTACAGTAATGGTGAGACCTTTTGCGATACACAAACACCTTGACTCTCTCTAAGCCCCTCCCCTCTGGTTTGGGGTGGCGAGGTCACTTTCTCCCTAGTTAATCACATGTTTATTTAGTGCCGCTAGGGTCACAATCAATTAACATTGTGCCGACATTATTTAAAATATCCTTTTTGTGTTAGCTGCCTTCCCTATTACAGCCTGTTTGATTACTTCACAGACAGATTTGCTTATTAATCGGCTAGCACTGTTCAATAACTGATAACTAAAGTGGTAGATTTTTACCAAAGGCATCCTTATCTCTTAAAGGGCCTATATTGTGCTATTTTCTGATCTATGTTACAATGTTGTTTCCTCATCAAAAACACACCTGGAGTCATGTTTTGTTTTATTCACACATGCTTAACATGCATATTTAGGCTGAGTTCTTCTCTAAAACAGAAAACTCCCTGTTCCACCTTGTGATGTCATGTGGTAGTACAGGAAGTGCTCCACTGTGTTTTTCAACTCCATACACCTTCATAAGAATAATTTTGTTAAAGAAGTAAAGGTAAAATGCAGCTGTTAACTAACTGAAAACTACCTCTTCATGACATCACAAGATGAGTAGAGCATTTTGAACTTTGGAAATGCAGACACATTTCAGGTATGTTTTGATTAGGTAACAACATTATAATGAGATTAAAAGCTCACTAGAGTCAATTTAGTATAATATAGGACTTTTAAGTTTGAAAATCAACCTAATGCATTCACTTTACAGTCACCTTTCCGCTCCTCCGTCCTCTCCTCACCCTCTCCCCTCAATCTCAGTTCCTCATCTTCGTCACTCCCTATTCTCAATATGTGGCTTTGAGTGTCCACCCTCGTTCATCCCTTCCCTCCTGCTTTGCTTAATGAAGTCAAGACCTCGGTGCGGTCCCCACTCTGCCACACTTTTCCTTTGGTATCCCAACAATTTATCACTTTGTCAGGGAAACACTTAAAGTTCCTGGGCTATAATAAGGGCACGCGCAGGGACGATGGGGGCAATTAAAAAAAGCAGAGAGAGCTCACTTTGCATATTTACTAAATGTGTTGGTGTCATCACTGCTGCTGACTCCACCACGGCCTGTTGACTGCATGAAATATTCCTCTATTTGCAGTAAACAGCTGGGTAATTATTGCTGCCATAATCAGATAAATAATATACTCCCCATGAATAGAATGAGCATGGAGGTTTTTTTAGCATGTGCTTTGGTCAGTCTATGATTTTGTTGTGGTTGTTAGTGGTTTCCTGATTTGAATCTATATTCTTGTTGTTCATATTTGTAGTGAGCCTATCTCAAGGGCAGTCATAACAGGAGAGCTGCTTTGGTGTGAGACGGCCTATATGCCTGGCCCATCGTGCTACACACTTCTACATGCTATCATCGCTCTTTTGCTTCTCTTTTCTTTTGATCCACTTCATCTTTGTGGCTCCACAGTTGAAGTTACAGAGGAAGTGAGTTTCAAATCAAGTCAAAGGAGCTATGTGGTAACTATTGTCTATAATGCAGTTGTTTTCAGTCCAAAAACACAGCATTTCAAATTCTACAAAAGATTGTCATGAGCTCAACAGTGACTGCCCACCCTCACTTACGGAACCAGATTTCTCATTTTTCCCATAGACTTTCCAAAAAAAAATTAAAAGGTTGAAAGCTTGCTCAGGGCTAATTTGCTATGTGGTATCTAATAATCACAAGAAGACCTATACTTTTATTTAAAACCTGTTTCTGAAACAGTTATCAAAGCATTTCTCAGAATCTTGTTGAATGTGCTTGTTTGGCCTTTGAACTCTTAATATTTTAATTTTTCAAAAAGTCAATGGGGAAAATTAATGGAAAATGTACTTCTGGGCCCAGAAAAGGTTTATAAGGTTTCAGAAATATATTTCAAATAAAATTATAGGTCTTGTGGTTATTAATTGCCACATTGCCTATTAGTCCCAAGCCCCATTTATTTCTTCATCTATTTATTTTCAAAACGTCTATGGGAAAACTGGGCTGTCACTGTTGTGCTCCATCCAAGTTTATTTTCTTATTTTCACTGAATGCACAGATTGAGTACAACATTGAGTACAAAAAAAAAAGAAAAGAAAAACAAGCATGATACTTTTGATAACAGCTGGTAATATTTTTGATTCTCTACATAAGAAAATCACCCTACCTTTGTTCAATTATAATTGCAGATGAAATCTTACTGACTCACTGAAATCTCTGCATTGCATAAGTCACCCACATTGACAAGTTTAGTTCGTTTTCCTGATCTATTGAACGATTTAACTTGAGCAATTAAAAGAGCCAATCAGGTCAAGCTGTCATTAAATATTTAGGTCTTGGACAATTAGCTGCTCCACTGCTGTCCCGATGACCGCTTGCTGTCCTACAAAGCCCCTTCTTCTATTATTCTTTGACTTCTTCTGAACTCAAAATGTAAATTATTTAAAAAAGATATTTTAGCTAGACCATAGAAATATAAATAAGTTAAGAGGCACAGGTGAAAATGTCACTCCATTGTTTTAAATATGCTGGTAATACTTGATTAACCTCAACTAGGCTTTCATTTGACTATAAGTTCAGACCAACTGATTAAAGAGATTTATATTTGATTTCGTTATGCTCACAGGCCATGTGTATTGCAAAGTTTCAGATGACATCACAGCATTCTATAAGCCAATATTAATTAATACACATGGGGGGCAATGAAAATTAATATTGCTAAAATTATAAATTATGTTGTAATACAGTGAGTTCTTGTTTAGTCAGTAATTGAAAATATCAGGTTGACATTTGTGATTTTACCTTTTGGATATTTCATGTATAATGTAATCAAAAGGGAAATCTGGCCCTTGCTGTCCATCTGGGTGCAAGACATCATCGCATTCTTAAATCTGAAAACCACCAATTGTTTAATCGGTATTATTTTTTGCTTCTTCTCTCACTAGTCACTTACCCACAGCCTCTTCTCAGTGCAGCGTGGCGTACAGCAGGGCTAATGAGGGTTGTATGTTGTGGCGGCTGGTTGGGTCGACACAGATCGAGGTGCCTTCAGCCGTTACAAATCTGTTTGGCTTTTGTCCACTACACAGCAATTAATAACACTGGGGCTGGGGGCAGAGAAGCAAAGGTCACCCATTCAGCTTGACATGCACACACACACCCAGCCAAACATGGACCCACTCACACAGCTCTTCACACACTTACCATAGACACTTACAGATATAGGCACACATTTTTGTTGAGAGATATTCAGATCTTTTTTTTTGGTTATTTATTTATAAAAAAAATGTCTTTGCAAATGTCAAAAATATTTAATTAAACTTCCCTTTTTATCTTCGGCAACCTATGAATCAACTTATTGAGGTAGGGCAAGAGCCTGATGTAACAATAGTTTACATTTAGTGTTACAATTGAATCTCAAATTAATCTAAACTCAGTAAAACACAGTAATGGGTAGAAACATATATTTTTTTATATAGTTATACCACATTACTGATGCACATTTCTGCATAATAAATATGCCCATTTTAATACCTTCAGTGCCAGTCTAGTAGGGAAGCAATTTACTCACAACAAGGCTTTATATTTTGCATTAAGAACTAATATTACTTGAATGACAAAGGAAATAGAGGCCATGCAACCTCTATTTTTAACCTTCTCTTTGCATATATTATATCTGAATCTCATCTTTGTAGTTTAAATGTGCTTAAATAGCATGAAAACACACACACTGTAACTCTACTATGACTTGACTATCTAGCACATGTGACCCTGTGCATATTTTTTAATTTATTTTGTAATTTCATCTGGAGCTGAGGACGAAATGAGAATGCAAAAGCAGAAACAGTGTTGTGATTCCCTTCCCTTAAATGTCAGCAGCCCCAGAATGTGTTAACCTTACATTACAGATACATTATTAATATTCAGATACTTCCACTAACGTTTGCAATTGAAAATAAAAGTTGAAAAGACATTTAAAGATGTAGTAGCAGCCAGGAATGATGGAAGAAGACAAGACAAAGGGCTGTTGATAATCCATGGCTTCTTGGTATTGCTCTTGGTTGAAAGTGGAATAAGATTAATTTCCACAGTGTGTACGTGCGACTCATGGTCTTTCGTGTCCGCATTACCATGGTGTGTGTGTTTTAGTAATTGTTTCCAATTCGCTCTTTAAGTTATTACCTCCTTGTAACAATGAGGCTGTGTGATTGCAGAATGAAATTGCTGTGTATGGGCTTTTAATGCATCCCATTTAGCCCGCTCCGCTTAACAGATGTCACAGAAAGACCTGTCCTGGCTGCGCTGATGAAATATATCCATCATCCTCCTACTTATAGCTCTGCTGCCTCCACTTCGCCCCTTGTTTGTGCACTCTGTCTTTCTTTTGCATTTTTCTCTCTGTCTCTCTTAGAAGGTATTTCATCCATCTGCATGGCTCTATGCTGACCCATCAGTGTTAGAATGAAATTATGTCCATAACAGATTTAAATATTAAAATACTAGTTTACCAGTATGTAAGGGTTGATGGAGTCTTTTTCTTTTCAAATATATTGTCTCATATATGGATGCACAGTCTAAACTTACTTAAACAAGCTGTTTCTCTTACAGGAGAGATTTGGATGAACTTGAGGAGCTACAGAGGAGAGAGAGGAAATGCCTGAAGATTGTAAAAGAGCAAGCAGCCAAAGTCTACCAAGCTCATCGTTTACATCATCTACTCAGTACGAAGCAGGTTGGTTATCAGTAACGGAAGATGGAACATATTGTCTATTACATAATTTGCAATATTTGCTTTTTGTTTGTATGAAAATCTAAGCAAGTTTTTAAAAAAAAAGTAATATCATACATAATAATCGTTCAGAAGAATACAAAAAAAGTAATCCATCTGGACATGTGCCTGTTGTACTTGTCTTCATGGCTCTTGGGATGTGCTGAGTGGAACATTTGAGTGTTTCCCCTGGCACAGGTGTGCTGTGTGTGCATGTGCTATGTTTGTGTGCGTGTGTGGCATCCATGCATCTGGGACTCCCCATTGGGATCATAATGAAGACAAAGCACACTGGTCACTGTTGATTCAGCACTGCCACCTAGCTTTTTCTGAGTCTACTTTTCCTGTCTGTCCCCTTCTGGTTTTACCACTACCTCTGTCATCATTATGTGCATCAGAAGTTTACTACTTTCACAAAATGTTTGTCAAACAAACATAGTAAGTTGTAGTTTCTGCAAACAAAACTTCTAAATAATTGATTGCACATAGATTAGTAAAAAGTCTAAAAAGTTTCTCATCTGCCTGGTGTCGATCTCCTCCCCACTATCTCCGTCTCTCTTCTATCTCTGCATATGGCAGGGGACTCTCTCCCTTCGTAGCTTTGACCTTGTCAGCCGTGAATAGATGGCTCTCCCACACAGTTCATCCTTCCTCACTTCTCGGACCCCAGCCCACACACACATGCACACACACACACGCATACAAGGCTTACCAAAAGGCCCCAAGTCCCTCTGACAGAGACAGAGATGGTGTGTTCCTGAGGTCAACATCATTGCTCTTCCCGTAGCTAGGTTGGTACTTTTTGGCTTGCTTCTCTGTGTGTGTTAAGATGTGTGGAACACTGTTACCTTTAGAGTTTTAAGTGAGTGTATGTTCTGATGTTCTTTTTTTAAACTTTCACAAACATGATATCATATGTTTATGTATTTCCTATATTTGTCTAATTATTGACACAAAGTCAAAGTAAGAAATATATTTATTAGACAATTATAAAGAGCATACAGCATTAGCATACAGACTGTATCCTCTATATAGCAAATATCTTTTACAGAATACTTTTTCTAACATTATGCTTGGTTCAAAGTGCATATACTGTTTAAACCATTACTTTAATGAATGCCCTGAAGTCAAATTGTGGTTAAAAAATAACCTTGTGATATTGCGCAGAATGTGATATTCAGAACCAGAGGCCCTGATACTTTTCAGTTTTGAAAGTAAGGCATCATTTTACAGTCATTACCCAGTGGCACAGTCCATAAAACCTGAATATTAACCTCTATTTTATTACCTTTGTCTATTTTTGTCAAAAACTCTTGAGTATGCTGCTAAACATCCCATTGTGAATATGTCATTCTCAGTGTTTCACCTCGTCCATAATAGAATTGTTTCTTTTTTTTCTCTTTCATCAGTGCCCAGGGGTTTTTAACTCTCCATTCAGACGGGCCCCCCATGAGATGGAGCTGCTGCTGAGGCAGGTCAAGTACCAGGCCCCCACCAGGCTCACCCCCAGGGACAGGGCTTTTCAGTTGGGCACGCCTGGCCCAGCAGCCCCCAATTTTCCTGAGACCCTTGGATCCCCATGGATTAAAAGCACACATTCTGAGAGCTCCTCAAGGCCTGTACTGCCCCCCATTGTCAGCAGGAAACCTCAGGTGAGCTCAGAGCTAGGTTTACCACAAACAGTCCAAAACACTAACACATAATACATAACACATTCACAGCAATAACACTGGAGACAGTGTTATGAAACAGCATTAGATTTGCACTGTCATTGTAATTATTAGAAGCCCCCAACACAGCTCCTGATACAGTGTATTTTAAAACTCTTCTCTATGAATGATTAGATCATTAAATATAATATACAAAATCATGTTTTGTATATAGTTTGTGCTTTTATTCTGTTTCTATTCTGTATTCTATTTGTCTGAAAAGAGATGTGACCTGAGCATAGAGCGGAATGGTTTTATGAACACCTCAAACATCTAGTTCATACTCGTTACTATACAGGCCCTAGTTTCTCGATGTGCACTTGTATTCTCGTGAGCTGATGAGGAGTCATTTTACCATTGTGTTATTTACGCTCTGGAGATCTTTATTGCAAAGTACTTTCCTTGTTATTAGTTTTTAGCTATGTAAAACATAAGTGAGCAGAAATGAGGCATGGATTTGTCTCATTTTATTAGCTGTTCTCTCAACACTCAGCCTCATGACTGTGTCTCCAGCTGGAGTGCTTAGGCTGAGTTCATTACTGTCTCTTGATGGTAACATGGGGAAGAATACCCTTTGATTAATGTGCATCTTATTTTCCAGTATTTCCCTGTTTGTAATTATTGTAGATTTCCTCCCCTCTCAGCCCCCATCACCCTCACACTGCCCGCTGTGATAACTATCTCCTGGTGATGGATAAGGTGGAGGCTCTGGCTGTGGAAGTACTCAGGCCAGGCCAGTGATCCCATGGTGATAGGACCAAGGACAGGGTCCTTTCTGTTGCTCTGCACACATCACCCCCTCTTTAAAACAGCAACCGAAAAGCTCAAGGTCACCTTAAAACAACATTTTTGTAGTTATCAAAACAATGCAATCCAAATAATGGTAAAACATGCATAACTAAATATGCATTGATGTCACAAATTATTAAATAAATGCAGTCAGTACCCCAACAACTTCACACATTTGATGCCTTGAATTGGTTGTTTCCATGAGATAGTCCATTTTGTCAGCCTCCCTGTTGGCCTGACTCTGTCACAGAGATTCATAGTATTGGCCTGTTACTGTAGCATTGTGGCTCCATGAACTGTGGGATAAGGATGAGAAAACACTAGTATGTAAGGCTCAGATAGACAAATCTACTGTGCTCTTTGTCTGACTCTGGTTATATGTGTGTGTTTGGTGTTGTGGTCTGACTAGAGTTCACCCAGAGAGCCAGGGGAAGTGTGGGAGCAGCGTCTCCATTGCCCTAAACTGTCTTTGCACCTACAGACCTCCTATACTCTGCTGGAGGATGTGCAGAATGACCTGCACCAACACAAGTGTGTATTTATATTGGCCTCATTTCTCTGCGATGTTTGTGATATAACGCCACACTCACAGTATTTCTTTATTATATGTTTTACTGGTGATGACTACAGCATCAGTGCCTTTACAAAGTCCATCTATGCCAACAAGACTCTGATGAATGGACACTGATCTTAACTGATCTTTCAAGAAAAGGTAATCAGTAAGCATTACATCAGATCAGAACAGTTATTAAATGTTACATTTGGATTTTCATTTCACTTTCATTATTTTCTTCAAATGGGCAGCAATACTTAACTAAATCCATGTTTTTGGTAGACTTAAGCTTTTTTTTTTTTTTTTTTTTTAGAAAAAAATAAATACATTTTAGGACCCCTTCCCCTTTTCTGATATTTATGTAATTCTACAGTTTTTCCATCTTCTGTTCAACCAAATGAAAATGATATTTTCATCAGTTGGCACAGGCGGACTCCGACTATGACTATTTTGTTCTGTGAGATATGTCTTTAGAAGAATAGAGGAAATGAAGAGAATCAGTGCAGCCTAACCCTTTCAACTTGAGTTGCACAAATTTGTCAAAAGTGACAGCAATTTAATAAATCGCCGCTCTCCATCAAACGCATATGTGCACCCTCCCACACATATACACACAATTCCCAGTTCTGCCCTCCACTGCCCCCTTCCCATGTATACGTAAATGAGGTGTACGGAGAAGCCGTGCATGTGCTCGTGAGTGTGGGCCCTACGGTCTGGTCCAGGCATTAGGTAATTGACTGTGTCTTTGCTCAAGGCCTTTCATGGATCACCGTCCTTTATTAGCTCACTTCCCAGCACACACATGCACACACATACACACGCATACACATGCATGCACAGAAGCACACACACATGCAAAGTTCCCAGCAGCTCCACCCTGGCCTCCTTACCCCCCCACCAGCAGCACCCAAACCCAATTGCCCGGAAAAGAAGAGTGAAACAAGAGAGAGCCAGTGAGGAGAGAGGGAAGTCTGAGCACAACAGGGGAGTGCACTAACACGGCCTGGGGAAGTGCAGATAAATAAGGATGCAGAGTGAGTAGGCGGTCACAAAGGGTCTCCTACAGCTCACTACAACGCATGGCCAGTTGGAACAGTGCTCCCAGGCTATATTTTAAAACAAAAGAGATGGCTTTAGGCAAGTGAAAATGAAAGAACCCTTCACCGGCTTTTTAAAGTGATCCTGTCTGAATTGTTCCATATGTGACATTACATTGTAATTATAAAACACCTATGCAGATAGTTGAGTCAGTCCACCTACTCTTCTCTATATTATGCAAAATTGGCTTTAAGCTGTGTTAGAATGTTGATACCTCCTCAAAAACAGTTGTGTTTTGTTTCATTCACATATTTTTGAGTAATTCTGCCTCTGTCTGTATCTCTGAAGCTCAAAATGCTCTGTTCCACCTTGTGATGTCATGAAGTGATGGTTTTCATGTTAACAGCTACTTTTTACTTTTTGATCAGCAGAGACTGACTTTACAGGGTTGTAATTATCCAAATGATTCTTGTGAAGGAGTATGGAGTTTAAAAACACCATGGAGCACTTCCTGTATTACCACGTGACATCAGTTTGAGAGAAGAACTCAGTCTAAATATGCAGGGTTTGTGTGTTAAACATGTGTGAATGAAACGAAAGCACAACTCAGTGTAGATTAGACCAGAAAATAGCAGAATACGTGTCCTTTAGTCTCTTATAGGTGCCATTATCAAAGACAAATGTTATTTAGGTAATACATTTTCCACTGTAAACCATAAAATATCATTTTATATGGGGAAAGTGGAGATTAAAAAATGTATCAGTTCATATTCCAGTGTTTAATGTTTAATAATGCTCTTGGATGTGTTTGAAATAACACAATCACAATTACAATACTTGTCAGAAAAATCACAATCCAATTATTTTCTAAAACCATGCAGCCCTATTTTGAAGCAACTTGTCACTTTCCAAAGGTGACACGCTTAATACAAGCTGATTTCAGTTTAAGTATATATGTCGGGCCCTCTGCTGCTGTTGCCTTGTTTATGATTCTGTCTAATACAGTACCCTCCTATTTACAGCCCCTCTCTCTCCTCACCCGCTCCATGGTAATTAGTGCATTAGTCCTATCATTGGCATCACCCGCAGCTATGACAGCAGCCAGCACCAGTCTATGTCAGTGCTCAGAGGGGCCAGCGGAGTGGACAGCTCAGCCATGGTACTCATCACTGCAGCCCCCCAGCCACATTATGTAGCATTGTTATCCCGCCATGTTCCTAATTATTTTCAAATCCTTGCCACGGCCCTCTCACCCAGACACTGCCACTTTACCTCGACCTGCTCGTAATCATCAGTGGAAGCCTTGCTCGGGCCCTCAATGTAGCCTAGAGCGTTATCATTAGCATAGTTCTGTTGTTTGCCATTTTTTTCAGTCACAACACAAAACATGGGGCCTTTTGGCAATGTGCACAAATTCACAACTACCGTGACTCTATGCTTACTGTTTTCTTCATCCTCTCTGCATTCTAACTCAGTAACTCCAATTAGACTGACATTTATTAACTAGCAATATAATGGAAATATTAGAGCAAATGCCTAATGAGATATAGGATGTCTTGGCTTAAGATTTATCCACATGCACAATGGGAAAACCCTGTCTACTGTTGCTAATTTTATGTTTTGTTTTATTTTAGCAATGGCACCAGGGGTTGTGCTTGTAACCAGAAGCTAGCTAATTAGCGGCTATATGTACTAATCAAGTACACTGCATTGAGTGGTCACGTCTGTGTCTGCAGCTGCTCCAAGCATTTCTCTTTCTACTCACATTAGATCAGAGGACATCATAACAGAGCAAAACCAATATCCCAGACAACTAATAATCAATAATCTATGTATTTATTTAATGTTTTTATTGGTATGGATGTGGTTTGTTGTATTTTGTACAATGACAATAAATCTGACACTAAATTAATATACAATAAAACACAATACATTTAAAGCAGACTGACAGTACTAAGGACTGTTATTAACCATATTACTCTGCAGTGGAACTTTTGAATCGATGGTAACTGTACTATAATCAACCGTTATGGTTGGTGCATAACATACAGTATATTACAAAACATAAAAATAGCAAGGAACATTAGACACAAAATAGGCAACACCTGATAACTGTGAAATTAATTTGTCGTATTGTTATTCTTCACAGTTCAGTTAGACCTTCCATTACTCAGTTGATTGATTATTATATCCTTTAGCTCACTAATGTCTTAAACCTATGCCCTGGCTTGATATGGCTTCTACTGTATCATGTCCATCCATCCACTTCTGCATTAGTGTCTCGATTACTGTGATGAAAAAGAAGAATGCTAATTTTCCATAACATTTTATGGCTTGTGTAAAACTCTGCAGCCCTTTCATTTGCACAGCCATAAAACATTCCTTGTGCCACACTTCAACTGGAGACCTCAGGTTTATCAATTAACCCAACACTTTCCTTCCATTATGGATGCATTTAAGCCATAAGGCTTGCATATAGAGCAGTGGCAAAGGCCAAATGCACACAGGCCAATTACATGGTGATGGTATCAGTTCAATGATCAGCGATCAATATTCTGTCCAGTAAAAACAACCTTTTTTGCTGATCACTTGAGGACCTCTTTGGTCATGCTGACATCGGCCACTTTTAGTATCTTTTTTTCCCTCAAATCACTCAGTGGGTCAACCATTTTTTATTTGTTTGTTTTGTTTTTCAGGTGCAAAAAAGATAGTTGGACAGCTAAACAGTTATTATAATAGTCTATATATTCATATTTTATGTATTTAATGTGCACCGTATGTTTTAGAACTTCTAAATGTTGTCTTTGTCAGTGTGAATGAGAGAGACAAGCAGGACAGCAGCATTAGTCTGTGTGCTTTAATGAAGCTCCAGTCCATAGCAGACACGCTTCACTGAACTATACCATGTGTACTGTGCTGTAATCGTTGCCCATCTCAATCTCCTGCCATCACTCCTCTTCCTTGCTGTCTTGTTTTCTTCTTAGCTCTCGTCTTCTCTGTTTTCTTTATTTGCTATAGCTGCAACTTCTTCTCTACCCCCTGCTTCCTTCTTTTTCGAACATTTGTGTGTGTACTATCAATACACACAGAGCTGGAGAACAAGACAAGAGCATGACAAGACTCACAGATTGTGTGTTGGTGATAGAAGTCTGAACTGGCTGTGATATGTAAATGGTTTGGTGATGAAACTACAGTGGAGATAGGCACGGATGTTTCTCAAGACAGAATACATGCATTAAAAGTGGTGTGCTGTCAGGGCAGAATAAATTAAATTGATTTCTTATTACTTCTATATCATAGTAAGATGAGAATAAAGTGTCCTAAAGTTATTTTATTTGTGTAATTTTCAAAAGGCTAAAGATTAAGAACTGCACAGAAGAGACAGTTTGAGACAGGGGTTCTAAAAAACTGAGCAAAAAGCCTTACTGGGCCTTTGTCAGAACAAACATGACCCGTGCACGTGACCTGCCCAATGTAGAGGATTGTTTCTATTTAGATTCAATGCTGTTTTACATACAGAACAAATGATTCTTTAGTACTTTCAGATTTCAGTTTGTGACTCAAATTCAGCACTTATTAGCTATACCAAAAGCTAGAAAAGATCATGGCTTGTACAGTAATTTTTTCTGGCGTCTAATTATCTGATTATCTGGGGTTCAAAATGCCTTTTTTTTTTTTTTTTTTAAATAAACAAAGTTGCTTTTATCTGCATGCTTACATATTAGAGGCCCATATCTTCAGTATTCTGCATGGGGAAACAGGTGGGGGTTGGAACCATGGACATTTCTGGAAGAGGAAAAGCAATCACAAACACTTAAAGCTGCAAATGGCCTGGATGTCCCGTGCTAAGCAGCCTGTGTTGACTGATGAGCCTGTTAACCCTGGCTGAAACAACTGCAGCGGGGGGATTAGACAGGAGCGTTGGGCTGAGCTGTTCCCGGCCCATTTTGCATAGGAATTGTGCATATTTAATCTAAGGTGTGCCAAGGTGCTCAGACAAGGCCCCCACTCCAGTGTTTCTCATTATAGATGTGTAATAGTTGCCTGAGGCGAAGGGGGGGGGGGCTTAATTCGCCCGCCTCGGCCCCTGGCTTAAT